TATATATATATATATATATATAAACAAGTTTCTGTGTGCATGCATCCTGAGGTGTATATACACCCTGAGGTGCCTATACACCCCAACGCCCTTCCCCCTCACGAAGCAGCGTAGCTGCGGCGGCCCCACAACACAGCTCCCTCACGCCCAGCTCTCCTGCTGCTGCTGCTGCTGCTGCTGCTGCTGCTGCTGTTGCTGCTGCTGTTGCTGCTGCTGTTTCTGTTGCTGCTGCTGGCTGCCTGTTTCTGTCTGTTTCGTTTGAGCTGTTCCCTCTGTGTCTTTTTGCTGCTGGGCTTTCCTGCACTCTGCTTGCTGCTGCTGCTGCTGCTGCTGCTTCTGCTGCTGCTGCTGCTGCTGCTGCTGCTGCTGCTGCTGCTGCTCTCTCTCTCCTCGATTCACGCCGCAGCAAGTCCCCCCAAGAAAAACTGCTGGAGCGCCGAAACTCCTTTGAAGGCAACGAAGCAAACGCATCATACATAAAGCTGCTGCTGCTGCTGCTGCTGCTGCTGCTGCTGCTGCTGTTGATGCTGCTGTTGCTGCTGCTGTTGATGATGTTGCTGTTGCTGATGAGGCTGCATCTGCTGCTGCTGCTGCTGCTGTTGATGCTGCTGTTCCTGCTGTTGCCGTTGTTTCTAATGCTGCTGCTGCTTCTGCTGCTGCTGCTGCTGTTGACATTGCTGTTGTTGCTGCTGCTGCTGCTGCTGCTGCTGCTGTTGCTGCTGTTGCTGCCTTGGATGCATGCAGCAGCATCCTTCTCCTCAGCAGCAGCAAGCGGACTGCAGCAGCAAACTGAAGCAGCAGGTGCCATTCGTTGTTCTTCTGCTGCTTCATCCTTCTCTCCTGCTGCTGCTTCTGCTGCTGCTGCTGCTGCTGCAGCAGCAGCAGCAGCAAGCATTTCGTCTCCACTGCAGCTCCCTTCTGTGTCGCTGCTGTTTGCTGCTGGCTGCGGCGGTGCAGCAGCAAGCGTTGGGGTGTCTGTACACCTCATGCTGCTGCTGCTGCTGCTGCTGCCAGCAGCAGCAGCAGCTTCTGTCTCCTCAGCTACTGAAGAGAGAGAATCCAGCGGCATCAACTCTTCTTCTGCTGCTGCTGCTGCTGCTGCTGCTGCTGCTTCTGTTGCTGCTGCTGCTTCTGTTGCTGCTGCTGCTGTTGCTTCTGTTGCTGCTGCTGGTGCTTCTGTTGCTGCTGCTGTTGCTTCTGTTGCTGCTGCAGTTGCTTCTGTTGCTGCTGCTGTTGCTTCAGCTGCTGCTGCAGTTGCTTCTGTTGCTGCTGCTGTTGCTGCAGTTGCTGTTGCTGCTGCTGTTGCTGCTGCTGCTGTCATTGCAGTCTTTGGCGTTATTTTTTTCTTTCGTTTGTTTGCTGCTGTTTTGTCTGCTGCTGCTGCTGCTGCTGCTGCTGCTGCTGCTGCATGCATTTTCTCTTTCTTGTTTGTTGTTGCTGCTGCTGTTTTTGTTGTTTCTTCTTTTGCTGTTTGTTTTATTTTTTTTTGTTTTTTTATTGTTTGCTGCTCGCTGGGTCTGTCTGCGGCTCCCGTTTTCTGTTTGTCTCTTCCTCCTGCTGCTGCTGCTGCTCGTCCTGCTGCTGCTGCTGCTGCTGCTGGTGCTGCTGCTGCTGCTGCTGTCTTTGTGCTTTTTCCTTGCTGCTTCTCCTCCCCTTTGTTTGTTTTTGCTCGCAGCGGCAAGCGGCTGTCTTTTGGTGTTATCTGCTTCTTCTTTGCTGCTTTTGCTGCTGCTGCTGCTGCTGGTGTTGCTGCTGCTGCTGCTGCTGCAGCAGCAGCAGCAGGAGCGGCCTCACCCCCTGCTCCCGCATGCAACCCGCTGCCGCTGCTGCTGCTGCTGCTGCTGCTTTTTCCAATTTTCTTTGCTGCCTTGGGCTTCTCCCCGCCTTTCTTAGGCTTGCTGCTGCTGCTGCTGCTGCTACTGCTGCTGCTGCTGCTGCTGCTGCGTTCGCCAGCTGGAGGAGAGCTGCTGCTGCTGCTGCGTGCTGGAGCATCTTCTATAGCAAGCATAGTCATTTGTCTGGGTGCAGCAGCAGCAGCAGCAGCAGCAGAAACTGCTGCTGCTGCTGCTGTTGTTGCTGGCAGTGCTAGTGGTGGTGATGGCGGTGGTGATGCTGTTGCTGCTGCTGCTGCTGCTGGTGCTGCAGCAGCAGCAGCAGCAGATTCCATCGATTTGCTGCTTCTCCGCAGCAGCTGCAAGTCAGCAGAAGCAGCAGCAAGGGCTCCAATGCTGGTGACGAGGTAGCTGTGCTGCTGCATCGCTGCAGCAACAGCAGCAACAGCAGCAATGCTGCTGTTGCTGCTGCTGCTGCTGCTGCTGCTGCTGCTAGCCAGAGAGCTCACTACCGCCTCAAATAGATTCAGCAGCCGCCACTGCAGCCGCTCAGCAGCAGCAGCAGCAGAAGGCCCCACTGTAGTAGACAGCACCAACTGCTGCTGCTTCTGCTGCTGCTGCTGCTGCTCCTGCTGCTGCTGCTGCGGCACCTGCGGTGTATATACACCCCAGCGGAGACGCCGCCGCTGCGCAGCCAAAGCCCTCAGAGCCGACGACAGCTTTTCTTTCTTTACACACAAAGATGCCTGCAGTT